CAATAGGAAGTAAAAATGCTTTATATGTAGTAATTTTCGCCTAAGTTCTAAGGTGTCGAGATCGACCATTCCCAATAAATACATGGAGGGTTTGATATGTAAGTTTAATTTTATATTTTTTTACGAACAAATATCAAACACAAATGTTAGTAGGTACTCATTAAAATCGTAACTTATTTTTAAACCTATTTCAGGTTGAAATGGAAAATCGCAAAGAAAATAATTATAAATACAACAAAAATAAAGGAAGATGTAAAACAAAGCGGAAAGTATTCATAATTTACCTACTCACTTTTTTACCCGACTGTGCAAAGCCTAAAAACATGACTACCAATTCAAGAGCTTCGACGTGTAACACACACACCTTCAAAATGGCTTTATTAAAACTGAATGAGTTACTGAAAAACGTATTGTACAAAGATATTCCTTTGACGGGCCTGTCGGTTTAGTGGTTGGTGAATCTGACTGCTAAGCCGGAGATCGGGGATTCGATTCCCACCCAGGACAAATATTTTGTGATGAGCATAAGTATTTGTTCTGTGTCTGGGTGTAATTCTTCTATATTTAGTAATATTACATGGACGTTTATCAGCAGATTGGTTACCATAGTACAGGCTCTGCAAGTTTGGGACCAGACTGCCGTGTGTGAGAGGTGTAAAGTTTTTATTATTAAATTTCCAAATAAATAGCGTAATAATGATTTTTGCAGGAGACAAGAAGCTTCAATACAGGATAGACAGGAAAATGGAGGCCCATTTACTTGATGAAGGCTACTAAAAGAAGAAAAACTATATCATGAGGCTTTACCCTCATGCCTCATGTTGGAAACAATTTCGCTATAGGTATACATTTATTTTTCTAAATATTTGACAAAACAGATTGCTGTTATTGTGTGTGTTGATCTACGACTATACGAGTAGAGTCTACATAAGAGATGATTTCAAAAAAAAAAAAAGAATTTTATGAAATAAAGATACTTATACTAAATTGTCTAAATCGTTGTGTTTATTTTAATATATATTTACCTTTATTTTAAATAAATAAATAAAAAATAAATCTATGAAACCTACATTTCCCATATCACACAGAATATTGACTTGACAATTTCTTAGATTTCTTCGTAAAAACTATAGTTTTGACATAATAGCTACAAAGCGTACACTTGGACCAGATCCTTTGTCGCTGGCTAAAACGGGCCTACGCACTACGCCCTAGGCACTAAGGGCCCGCGAGCTCCACGATGCGTTACGATACATTGTGTCTTTTTTGTGACATTCAGAATCAGTCTACAAAGACGAAGAGGTGATGACATTATACGAAAAACCGAAAGTAGATTGATCAGTGTACAGGGTAGTATAATAATAGTGCGCGTTGCGTCTGTGTGCATGTAAAATATTAATGTGGGTGTTCAATCTCGAGTTCTCACGCTTGGTGACTAGTCTTAAGTAAGTACCTACATTGAAAGTACGTTTTGTTTTAGGTAAGAAAGTCTTGATTGATAGAAATAGTGAATTCGCTCCATTGCATTAACTGCCAAACCTTAGGCACTAAGTTCTAAAAATCTGGAATGAAAGATCAGAACGAGACCATTGACGTATAATGTGTGATGAAGGGATATAATGTATGGAGTACCCAGTACCCATGTACCCAGTAGATTAACTGAAGTAGCTTTAAACGTCTATGGATACGGTAATAATCAATTAAAAGAATATTAAACATGTCTGTCAAATTTAAAAAATATATGTTTGATATTTTTGTACTAATATGTAAATTATTTAAAAAAAAAAACGGGTAGTATTTCTCAAGGCCCAAGCAATTTAGGAATAAATGTGTATTTGTATACTACTCTTAGCCGTTTCTTTAAAAGCCCAACTATACTACTACTGCGGGTATGATAGTAAGCGTCTGTCTGGCTGCTAGAATATTATCTAACAGAAAGACAATTGATGACGTCTAGGAGCCGAATTCTCCACTTCAGATAATACTAAGTCTTGAAATTATCCGCTCAGGTGACGAAGCCTGCGCGCTGCTCTAAAGATTAGCTCAGAGTGGACGTTCTTCACTAAAGTTCGTAAGGTCAGTAGAACTAAAGAATGGCATACAGCGTTGCGAGCGGGTTGCGATCATATCGCAAAAATACAATCAGCAAAATGTGTGACAGAGGATTTATAAGTATTACCTAAGTCCTAAAATAAAACTAAGCTTTCGAAATCTTTAACTTTGCAGCAAGCCAGTACCTACCTACTTATACTACTTTCCTTGACATATTTTTATGCCTAAATAGAAAAATATTATTGACCCTACTTCATGTACTGAGGGACTCTCATAGGTAATCAAGTTCGGAAATGCCGAAACTTTCCAAACTCAATTTGCCCAATAATCAGAAGAGGTTTGTAATGCAAAATGTTTTCATCGTGCTTCTGACTTGAAAGCTTCGAGTGAGTTTTTCTTTCAGTGGCACCTACAGGCGAGGGGTGAATTTAAATTAACCCGAGGTAATAATATAATTATGAATACTGTTATTTTTGTTCCATTAGTTTTTGAATAACTTAATCGACATTCGAACAATCGAAGTGTAGGTTTAACCTAAAACTTGAGATTTCTCTTTCAAATTCTTAAATCAATGTTGCGGTTCCGCTAATGGCCTACCTGTGTACCTATCATAGCTGACGGGTGTCGCTTTGAATGTTATAGTGGATGATTTTGTTTTTAATGGATGAAGTTTGTTTAGGAAGGAATCGGCTTAGGACAAATAATCTTCTCCTGTGGATAATGAATACATGCGGAAGTATGAGAGGGGCATACCCTCTCATACTTCCGCATGTATTCATTCTTCCTTCGTCATTCAATCTGTCCTCTGGAACGCTCTTCCCCAGGAAATCAGAATGGCACCCAATCGTCATTCGTTTAAGGCCAAAGTGAGTGGCCATCATTGGATTAATACCTAAAATATTTTACGAATTCTGTAATTTGTACGAATGTAAATATGTGTAGGTATATGTATGTTAGTAAGAAAGTTTTAATGATATTCATCACTTTTTTACCCGCATTTAATTTTTTCACGTATCCTTTTGTGTATATATTTCTTAGTTAAGTCTTGTTATTGTTATTGAGTTTAGTGCACCTAATCACTCATCTCTACACAACCCCAAGGCAGACTGGCAGAGATTGCCTACGGCATTAAGTCTACCTTTGTACCTTTTTTTGTGCATAAATATTAAATAATAATAAAAAATACATTTAAGTGGCCGTGACAAAAACCACACAGCATTAGACATCTAATGTAAGATAAATAGATTTGTTTGCACAATTTGTTTTATTTTAAATACACGGATTTTTCTTTTCGAAGGAATGTACTTAGGCCCACGTGAAAGGTTAACTCATCTAACAGTATTTTATAGTGCGATGTATGTAGGTAAATGCTTATAAGATAATTTATAAGCTTTGACGCTTTGCATATATGTGCATTAAAGTTTATAAAGAATTCTGAGCCGATTTAAGGAACTGCCATTGAATAAGTTTGTACCAAACTTAAGGTATTGGCTACTGGAAATGTGCCTATGTTTCTCACACGTCGTGAGCAATGTGTAACACCGATATCGTTATTTGTTGATATATAAATAATTTTACTAATTATGTTAATGAGCACTTTTAATATTATGATATGTAGTTATTATTAATTTTTATTATCAATTTAATTTAATATATATATATCGTAGATATCATAACTAATGAAATATTGTGTAATGTCGTAATAATTAATTAATAATTTTGGAAATGGCATTTAAGAAAAAAATGCATTGCAATTTAGCCATCAAGTAACAGACTTCATGGCTAAATTTCCTAACAACCACCACTCTGTATCCTCATTTAAAGCAATTAAAGTATTTGTGTTTGAACAGCAATGGCAATGGCAATTATATAACAAAGCTTAATCGAAGTTCGTACTAATTTTCACAAATCTACTTTGTAAGTACGCTTTGTTCACCTTATTTACACCTCAAATTACCTAGAACGATGCTTCTATTGAAAATTGCGAAACTTTTGAGAGTAACTGTAAGGATTTTTCTAACAAAATTTGGAGGGCCTCCAAACTTAGGTAATAATATTGAAAGTGCCCCACTCTAACTTGTTGGTATATAGGTACGATTTGTAAGTACCTTTATTTGGCATTAATAGATTTATACCTGTATTAACTGTTTTAAGTGAAAGTGTATATAACGACCAATGTAGGAAATCTACTTACATTGGCCGTTATATAAGTACTACCTAGTATTTAAAAGGCCTACAAATTTTAAACTAACCATAGAAAAGTACATGTGTAAATAAATGTATCATCAACAGCGTTAAATACGTCATTCACAGCTGGACATAGGCCTCTCCTTAGAAACGAGGTTTTAGCTTACTATACTAGCATGTCAGTTTAACGAGCTATGCTCGTTCATTTGCACTGCCGCCACAGACATGACGAGACGCGTCGCTGTTACAGTTTTTTTCTTAAGGAAACACGTTCGAGTTTTCGGTAAGTTTTTATGTCTATTTCTTGTTATTTGTGGTGGATTGTCATATTGTTTTACAATAAAATGTCTATTTTACGATAAAATTAACTGTTACATGCATGATATTTGTTTAATATGTTGGAATTTAGGTGGCCGACTATTGGGTTTCGATTTTTTTGTCTAGATCCAGTGCTCAGCCATAAGTGGCTGTCTACTGGTTTTTTCGTGATTCTCTCACTTGTACTTAAAATTAACGGAGCGAATAAACCCAATTTTGATCATTACTTTGGACTTAACTTTTCTAAGACGAAAAGTATATTTTACCAGTAGTCAGCCGCATACAAATGTGATTGCATGTCAGTGGCCGACCATTGGGTCTACAAATCCAGTAGTCAGCCGTCAGTCCTGTTGCACTAAACAGAACCTTGAAGCCTTTTTAATTAGAGTTTATTTTTTGCACTACTATTTTAGAATGAATATCACTTGTTTTAGAGTTCCATCATGTCAAAGAGACCAATCCATCAATACAAAGAAGAGCAATTATCACAAGCTATGGCGGCGATTAGGAATGGGATGAAAATTAGAGAAGCCAGTCGAGTTTTTGGCGTTCCGCGGGGGACGCTACAAGATCGGCTACATTTAAGGGTACCAGATTTACCTCGTAAAATGGGACCAGATTCAGTGCTGACAAAAACAGAAGAAACTGTCTTGAAAGACTGGTGTATAGCTTTAGCAAAATGTGGCTTCCCGTTAAAATGTGATGATCTCCTTAATACCGTTCATAATATTATTTCTGAAGATAATAGGCCAAACCCATTTGTAAATAATAGGCCGGGAAAAAAATGGTATCAATCATTTCTGAGACAAAATCCCGAGTTGAGTGAGAGGACACCCGAAAATATATCTAATGGTCGAGCAGCTGTAACCGAAGAAGGTATTCGCAAGTGGTTTGCTGAACTTGTAAAGCATTTAGAAGACATAAATGCGAGTAATATTTTGACCGACCCTGACCGAATATTTAACGGTGATGAAACTAGTTTTCATATATGCCCCAAGACTGGAAAAGTCATTGCCCCAAGAGGATACAAAAATGTTTACAAAATTGTAAAAGGCAAAGAAAAAGAGGCTGTTACTGTCCTCGTATTTATATCGGCTTCTGGGAAAGTTTTGCCTCCTTGTGTAGTCTTTCCATATGTAAGACCACCAAAGGAAGTCATAAACAGTATGCCTGAAGGATGGTTATTGGGAAAGTCAGAAACAGGTTGGATGAAATCAGACATATTTTACGATTATATTGTTAAAGGTTTGAACAAATGGGTAGAAGAAGAAAATATGCAAAAACCTGTTCTCGTTTTTGTCGATGGCCATAAGAGCCACTTAACAATGCGTCTCAGCGAATATTGTTACGAAAACGGTATTATCCTCTATGCACTTCCACCAAATGCGACACATTTGATTCAGCCTGCTGATGTAAGTGTATTTAAACCTTTGAAGGTAGAATGGAAAAATACAGTGCACGAATGGGCAACTCAGCCTGAAAACATCAACAGCGTCTTGACGAAGGCAACTTTTTGTCCATTACTTAAAAAAGTCTTAGAGAAAGAAAATTTATCTGTCACAATCAGCAACGGTTTTCGCAAATGTGGATTATATCCATGCAATCCAAACGCTTTGGATTATTCAAAATGTGTTCAGAGTAATCTTGAGAAACATCATAACGCTACCAAGAATTTGAAATCACCAGGCATCAAAATTAAGAACAGGCATTTGAATACCGCCATCAAGTGTATTAATCAGCTAAGTAACGAGCTAGAAAGTGCTGGAGTAGACACAACAACTGTTATTAATGTTTTGAATGCAGCAAAAAATATGACCGGAACTGAAAGTTTGAATTCAACTGAAAACTCAACTAGAGGTAGTGACGCTTTCAAAATTGTAAACAATTCTACTCCTTATACCGATAAAAGTCAATTAAAAACTGCATCAAAACCAGACGAAAATCTTGCCACAAGTTTTCCAATTATAGGTGATTACACATTGGAAAACAATTTGAATAACTTCACAGAAGGGGAGAAATCCTTGAGCGAATTCGAAGTCATAACCGACTTCGGAGTGATTGACCAAAATCGCGCAATTCAAAAAACACAGAAATCTCAAACACCTGTATTAATTGCAAATAAGCAAGTAGATGACTGCGTCAAAGACTGGGCCACTAATCACACAACACAATCAATTTCTGAAGAATATTTGGGGAAAAAGGATGTTGAACCAGAAATAAATATTAACCAAGATATAGTTGATAAAGAAAATAAAGATGTTGGACAACAAATAAATATTTATCACGATTTAGAAAATACAGGAAGCACATCACTCTTTGAAGATCATAATTGTATTATAGATAATGTAATAGACATAAAGACAGAATGTAAACTTAAACCAATCAAAAATAACAGTGAACAACAAGAGATAAAAAATATGCAATATGTGCTAAATGAAAGTCCAAAAAATACAAAAAACAAAATAACTATCTTGTCCGATGTTATTGTAAGATCAAGAAATCTGTCACCCATTTTTAATAAGCATTTAACCTTGCCTGCTGTAGCTAGATCAACAAAGAAGATACAATCGATAAATAGAATAGGAGCTATTTCTTCTGAAGAGTGGAGACTATTTGAGAGACAAAAAGAAGAAACCAAGGAACAGAAAAAGAACGACATATTAAATAAAAAAATAAAGAGACTTAAACCAAGGCAAAGAAAGAAAAAGAGAAGCTAAAAAGAAAGGAAGAATTACAAAAAAGGAAAGCGGAAAAGCTGTTAAATTCTAAGAACATTAAAAAGAGGGAGAAAAATACGACATTTACCATAAGCAGAATAAGATGCAATCATTGTGAAGAGGAAATGACTAGCGATACCGAAATCAACGATTTGAAAAATATTGGCTGTGACAATTGCCCTGCGTGGTACCATTTAAAATGCACCGAATACGCTGGAGATACGTATGAAAATATATATAATAAGAATTTTCTATGCCCAATATGTAGAAATAAGTGAGAGGCTGACTATAGGGTAAGCCATGGCTGACTTGTGGAGAAATGAGGCTGAGCACTGGGGAAAAGTGCCATAATTTGTTTATTGTTGATTTTTTCTATAATTTTATCATAAATATATTATTTTGTTGATTTCTTTAGTAAATTTAATAAACAACCTTTTAAAGAAATATTATTGTTTTTATTCATAGTGTATAAAATTTCAAATACTAATGAATCAAATTTTATTACTCACTAAAAGGCTGACTACTGGGTGTTTTACCCTATAAGGTTTATATCAAGTTTTCGTTCTCTTTGCAGCGTGGCTGTCTTGCGTTATTTACTCCCTTACTCGGCTCTTATGACACTCACGGGACGAATAGGGGTGGTCGCACCAGGGCCTTCCTTTCTAGGGTATACCTGGTTCCCCGGCTATTAGTACCCGGCGAAGGCGTGCGGTTTTAGTCGGTTCGTGTCCGACATGCCACCGACAGGTGGTATCCGAGGGGAGTTCCGCACGGAAAAAAAAAAAAAAAAAAAAAAAGGGGTGGTGACACTTCGTATTTTTAATCCGTCACTACCTTAAATAAATGTCAAAAATTATTTTTCAAATAAACTTTAATTAAGTTTAACATGAATGTGTAAAAACTCATTAATCAAATAAACTTTAATTAAGTTTAACATACTTACCTTTTATTTCCCTTCTTTAATCATCCTAATTATATCGTGAACTGGACACGTTAAAATGAATATGAAAGAAAGTTTACAATGGCTGGAAAAAATACTATTACACTAGCGAACGCAAGGGCAAAATAGTAATAAAAAAAGAGGTCTAAAATTTGTACAATAATAAAATAATATCACAAAAAAAAACTCCAAATACACATTCCTTGCAAAAATGATGACGTCACAAGCCATCTCCTTCAACCTTAACTTTCTTCCATACTCTTTGTATAACCAACTAATTGTCGACGTAATAAGCACTGCGTTCAAATTTTAAAGACTTGCTATATTTCTTTTAAACATTTGTAAGAATCACCTAAAGTGAACATTTTTCAGTTAATTTCAAATAGTGCAACGAGATAGGTACAAGCTGCAAGGAGATAATTAGTTTTACTGAGCTTCCCCGGGCGATAGATGATCACAGACCAGCAACTTTTTGTTTTAAAGAAAAGTCTAGTGAGTTATTTATCTTCATGATCGCGCATGAGTATGATTACGTGTGTATTTAGGTGTGAAGGTGAAACCTCTGGTGTGAAGGTAGAATACCTTGTATTGTAGTAAAAGTTTTGATTGTAGGACGTACCAACATACGATCATTTACAGTAATCTTAAGAATAGGTTTATTTTTTAACCCACCGGTTTACCAATTTCGTTATGAATAAAGTTAAAAGCAATGATTTGCCTTTAGGACGTAATAACTTCTAGTTTCAAGTTTAAAATTGGTGCAAGTCAAAGTTCTTCTCACTCACTCAGCGCTTATAATAATTCTCTTTTAGGGTCATCAAATTTAAGGCACAGTGTTTAGATTGTAAAACTAAAAAATGTAGAGGTATTATTTTAATACCTCTTTATTTTTTAGTTTTCTGCACATAAAAACTACAGAAACCTCTTTGTACTTCTATTCGCTACCAAGCGATATTATGTACCTAGATAAATAGTGAGTATAGGTAAGAAGTGTATTTATTAACAATTATTATCTTTAATATGATAATACCCAGAAAAGTGGTCCCATCAAAAACTGCTATTCCAAAGGTCGCGGGTTCGGATCCCGCTCAAGTCTATCATCTGTATCCATGAATATTTAATGTGTTCTATGTGTGTGGGTGTTTCTATGTATAATATGTATGTATTTACAAAAAAGTACATAAATATGTATTTATAGGAGAACCGTTATTCTCACGGTCACTCATTGTGGGCATCAGCAGGGATCCGCGCGAGAAATAAACTATTCGTAGGTTATTAAATGATTGATTTCTTAGGTAGGTAGATTATAACACAAACTTACTCTTCACTTTAATATCACTTTAAATTATAATTACACAGTACAGTTCCTAGGCTAGCGTTACTTTAGAGCGGACAGTACGATAAGAGCTCGGAATACAGTGTGCACACTCTTTTATTAACGTTTACCCCTCTCTAACCTAGGCTCTGTATACGTCACTATGACGTTTGTGTGTCGTTGATCTTCCGTAGAAATGATCCGGATGCGACATATTTATATCAGTTATCTAGTACCCATAGCACAAGCTCTGCTTAGTTTGAGAAAAAGAAATCATAACCTCATCGTAATACAGTTCTTTACTGCAAAGAGATCTCAAATCTAAGTGATACATGATTTGTTAAGAAGCTGTGCCTAGAAATCATGTGACAACATAAATTTGCTAATCTACAAACACGAGGAAGACTAAAAGTGTCTGAGATAGTCTAGTAGATATTCTAGTAGATATCGTAGTATGGTGTAGTAGATATTGTAGTATAGTATAGTCTAATAGATATCGTTTTGCTATTCAGCAGCAAAAAGTTGCTAATCTACAAGGGCTTTTAATACAAAGGTAGAAGACTACACGAAGCTGAGATAGACCGGTAGATAGCATTCTCGACGATTTGTAGTACTTGGTAGGAATGTTTTAAATTTGAGATGAAACAATAGTCTATTAACAATATACTAGCCGATAGAAGCTTATTCTTATATGTGTTTGCTGTATCTGACGGAAATTAAGGCAACTTGATATAAATGACTTTATGAACAGCCTATGTTTTTTGTAAATGTCTTATGAAATATAAAGACAATCGAAAAAGTTACACAATTAAGTTATGACACAACCAGACCTAAAGTTGTTAAACAAATCTCAAAGCTTTATTTATTAGTATATCAGCAAAAAATGGTAGAAAAGTACTAAAAAATATAAATATAAAAGTATGGTATAAAATTTCTATAAAAGTACATTTTGTGGTTAAACATGACAATAACACAAAAGAAACGAATTCATGTCATTTTTAACCGAATTCAAAAACTTTTTTTTATGTATGTTCGTCGTAGGTATAACTCCGTCATACATGGACGGATTTTCAAAATTCCATTTAAATTTCATATAGATCTGATGATGTGTTTCGGAAACAGACAACGGAACTCTTAAAAAATGCGCGATTGCTGCTAGGTTTTTAGTGTTCTTTGTTAGAATTGTTAAAAGTCGGTTCACTTTAAAAAAAAGGATTGATTCTTGTTCATATTATGTTAAACAAACAAACCACCGTTTGCTGCCAGTAGACACTGAACATTGTAAATACTGGCTCCATCCTTCTTTTTAGATCTTCTAAAATCCTATATAAAACCAATTTTAGTAATGTAATAATTTTTACTAGGGAGATTTAGAAGGGGTTTATATTAACGGACGTAAAGAACCGTTTTAGTACAAAGTTCACAAACACGCATCGGGATAGAAGTATTCATTAGACATTTGTCAGAGTGAACTTGACTCTTGACTTCCATCACAACAAATTCCTACCCTCCTGTCTTTTTTCAAGTTACTAAACATTTTGCTTGTCTTCTAAACATTTAGCTTGTCCCAACCTCGACACTGTCTTACAGAGGGGTGAGCACCATTTATCTTAATAAGAGACATTGATTGTCACTGCGGTGTGTCCCTTTTACCTTACATAATGACGAACAAAGAAAAAAATGCTATTCGAGATTTAGCGGGCCCAGTAACAGACAGATAATAAGTATCTGTTTCTTTGCTTTGAAAAATTTAAGTTGTTTTGAATTATTGTTCATATAAGAGCATTTGTATCTCGTTCTTTTTTACACAGTTTAATTAGCTTGTATCTATATGACTTAGTTTTTCTGTAACTTCAAGCTGTTCGGATAACTTGAAAACTTTTCACACTTGTTAAAGATCAAATACATTACAAGAGTAAACAATTAAATTTTGGAAAGTAGAGACCACCACCCCCCACTAGGAATATATCTTGTGTCCAGAATCAGTCATTCAAACGGACAAAATAACACCAAAAAATGCCGATGTCCTCTAAGGCCGGCAACGTGCTTGCGTCTCCCGAGCTGCAGGCGTTCATAGGTAGCGGTAGTCGCTTTTCATCAGGTGACCCGTCTGCTCGTTTGCCCCCTCTTCCACAAAAAAAAAAACACGCGGACTCAGAAAAACAATTTGTGTATCAGAATAAGTGATGTTCCATGTAGGAGTCGAACCCATTACACTCAGCGTAGAACGAAGCGGCGAGGTGACCGCTTCAACCATCCCTGCAGTCTTCATCATCATCAATTCAGTATTAACGGCTTTAATGTGCCTACATCGTGTTAAATTGCTAAAAACTGCATTCACATCATCACATCACATCAACAGTCTTTAATACTGTCCACTGCTGGACATAGGCCTCTCCTTAGAAAAGAGGTTTTGGCCTACTATACCACGCTGGCCAAACGGGTTGGTATAGGGCTTTTTTCAAGTTTTCTTTCTCTTTGCAGTGCTGTTGTCCTGCGAAGTTTGCTCCCTTAGTCGGCTCTTACGATACCCACGGGATGAATAGGGGTGGCGACACCTCGTATTCTTAATCCGTCGCCACACGGACACTGCATTCTTCATTCCTTAACTTTCACACTTAAGGGTGGTATTTTTTTCATATTTAAATGGGACTAAACAAGAAGTATACCCTCCATAACAAAAAAGAATTTTCAAAAATGGTTCAAATGTGACGAAGGTCTATGCGACGAGTCGAGTACGAGTCA